GAGGCTGCCCGTGAGGAAGGGCGGCTCGTGGCAGCCCTCCAGACCCCGGCGGCGCCCGGTGCCCTGACATCGGTCACAGGAAGCGGCGGGGACTCACGTTCCCTCCTGACACCCGGGTTCCCCGTGGCTTCGGCGAGCCCTGGCCACCTCTGCTTCTTGATGTGAAATGGAGGCATCTGATACAAAACCGTCAAGGGGGTCACTGTTGTTGAGGAGTCTCACTGCTGTCACAGCCCTCTCTGGTTCACTTGTACCTGGTGAGAGCACCCACACGAGCAATCCGTGAGAGCTGCGACAGTGCCAAGGACTTTGGAGGACTTTGAACAAGGGTCCTCTCCAGGGTTCATCTGGGGAGTAGGCTCCTGGTCATCTAAATTGGGCAGATTTGGGGACCGGCTGCAGGGGCAGGTGAATCTCTACTGTGGTATTAAAGGAAAGGTGGATCTTATATGACACATTTCCGGTGCTGAGCCCTGCCTGACCAAATGCTGCATGTTTCCAGAGAAGGAAGTTTTAAATCAAGTAAACTGGATTTTAGTCATGGGGAAATGGAGTTCTTAGCCATGGAACCAACTAGCTAGCCACTGGACATCCAAAAACAGAAGTGTTTGCTTTGCTTCCGTGACACTGGGTATCCAAAACTGTTGTGAGACACTCAACAATGTGTCCTGAACCAAACCCAGGTCATTCCATCCAGCCAAGTGAGGCAGCGTTTAGAGTTGAAGGTGGTAATTATTGGTTTGACTCAAGCAAAGAGTCAGGAGCAAAGAGAGTCAGGAGCAAAAGCAGAACCAGCTGGGTCCAGCCTGCAAAGTACTGGCCAAAAATGGTCCTCCAGCACTGGTGACATTAAGTTTCCAAAATGCTCAGTCAGTCCTTGCCAGGAATGAGCTCAAAGCATCTGTGTAAAATCTGGCCAAGGTTGTCCTTGCTCTTGATGGAGTTTGTGTCTCTTCATTACCCTGAGGGGCTAAAGTTGGTGAAGCTCAGATCAGATATTTCCCCCATTTTGAGATGATTGGATGGGGATGTGTGCACCTGGCCCTTCCAAAGGACCACATGAGCTGGAGCAGGGGTTCGACGGATTTCAGGGAGCTGCGGGTTTGGGACCTGCCTCTAAACTGTCCAGGGGCTGGCATCTCCTTGCTTTGTGTGCTTAGGGCACATCTGACCTTGGATCAGTGCATCCCTGAAGTTCACAGGATCTGCAGGGTTGGTTTGGCCCTTTGATCTGCTGAAACATATAAAAGTAACTTCACATGACAGGCACCAGTGCCACTCCGTATGAGCCCAGGCAGGATAGAAGGCCGCTTCAAAAAACCATCTCCCAGGGTAACAGAGTTTGACCTTTTGTTTCTCTGTTGTGTGCTCCATCACCAGGATAAACAGACACGGACTGGTCCTGGGGCTCTGCTTCACCTTTTCAGGACTAAGGCTTTGTCACAACCTGCTTGAAAGCCACCCCCAAACTCTACCGGGCACATATATCAAGGCATGGCAGAGCCACGAGCCCTACACTACCATCCCCATACAGACTTCAGGGTACAAGAGACAGGGACATTGGCTGCCAGCTCTACAAAGGGACTAAAGAGAAGAGGATTTGGGCCCAGTTCAGGCTTGCCTGGAGCACGTTGCTTGCAGGCTTTAGCAAAGAGCTTCCTGTGCAGTTTTTCCTTCCCTGGATCCTGAGGACATCAGCTCTGCCTCAGCATCCTGGAGGTTTCTGCAGGACTCTGTGCCAGCTCTAAACAAAGTGCCAAGCTCATGGCAGGCAGTGCTGCAGGCCACACTCCCAAGGTTTCCCCTCCCAAGGTTTCCTGGAGGCCACCTTGACTCTGTTTAGGTAGGATTTTGGCAGAGAAAATTGTACAGGTAGGGGAGCGCGAGTCCTGGGTCCCTGCCAGTCCGTATGCACCAAGGCAGGACACCTGCCTGGCCTGGTGCACATGTGTGAGAAGCCAGAGGGAGATTCCACAGGACCAGCAGAATTGTGATTTCACAGAATTGTGGAAAAAAAAAAAAAGACCTTTCCAAAAATATTTACCCTTATATATTATGCCTTAGCAATCAAGGAGATGTCCGTGGGATGAGTAGGCAAGGTTGAATAGTGAGTGTATCCCCAGCTCCGATTTCGCAGATCATGGGAACACCAATGCTTGTGACATCTGTGGGTGGTAAATTGCTGCCTTGCAATGAAGGCCTCCTGCTCTCCGTTCCCTGCTCCTGAAGCTCTGATTCGTGATGGGATGCTTGGATGCTCTGATCTGGAAAGTCCTGCTGGTCCCTGGCCTGCTGACCCCGGGCTGATG